GACGCCGTGCTCGAGGCGCTGCGCGCGGCCGGGCCGCTGGCGCGCCCCCTGGCGGCGGGCTCGGGCGGCGCGGCGGCTCCGTGCGGTGAGTGGGGCCGGGTGACGGCCGGGACAGGACGGGACAGGATAGGACAGGACAGGACAGGACGGCGGGACGCGTTCGGACCCGCCCCGCTTCACAGCGGGCGCGGCCGGTGGGAGGTCCGCTGCCGGGGTCGCGGTAGTGCCGCTCCTGACGGTGGTCTCGTGCCGTCTCTTTCATCCTGTTCGTTTGGAAGCGAAACTCCAGCCTGTCAGATTCCTTCACTCTGACTGACCCCTGAAGAACGCAATTAAAATGAAAAAAAACCCAAATCAAACAAAACATACAAGAAACCTCCACGAGTGGAAAGATGTAACAGTTAAAGTTAAAAGAGTGTTGAAACTGGAGATGCGGAGGACAGCTGGAAAAGGCTTAAACACCGCTTTCCGTGTGTCTGTAATAGTCAGTGTGTCTGGCACTGCTGGGAAAGCAGCTGCTTTATTTCTGACGAGATCTATTTAAGAAGCACTTCATATTTTTAGTGATTTTCACGTATCTGCAGAGGAAGCCAGCGAGGCTGCTGTGTTGCTGAAAGTGCTGCGGTCCAAGTAGGAGGGAAACGTACCAGTAATGCTCCTTCAGGCAGGGCACAGAAATGGAGATAAAGCATCTGAAAGCTGTGGTATTTGGGGGGACTGAGCCCAAGCAGAGAGATCATTTTCAAATCCAAGGTGAAGTCTCTGACAAAGCACTTAGCTGAGAAAAGGCAGTGTCGTGCCAGAGCATATGGAGTGTAGATAGCTGTCACATTGCGTTAGCTCTGAAATCCTACGTTAAATGGCACCCGAGGCAGGAAAGCGTGTGCAGTGTAAGAGAAGGCTCCACAGAAAGTAGCATGTGCTTTTTGGCGTAGAAGACAAGCTAAGATAATGATTTGGACTCAGAAAGAGATTGAAGAGCTGTGAATTGCTACATCACTAGCAACATGTCTCTGTTGGAGCTGAAGACCTCTCAAAATATTAACTGTAAGAGTCATTTTTAAAGGGTTGAGTTATTTGGGAAAGATCCCACAGAGTTTATTTGTGCATGGAAAAGACACTGGATTATGAATTACCTTTAAGAGCCAGATGGAAACAAGACAGTGGTCTGGTCAGCCAGCAAAATGTTGGGAAGCAGCAAGGACAGGTTTAATGCTCTTGACAGGTAATGTCAGAGTCAGAACTGATTTAGAGCAGCAGGACATAAAATTGAATGTAAATAGAGGCTGGAACGAAACTAATTATCAGATGCAATCAGTAAAGGAAAATTATTCTGATCTAACCTGTTTCTATGGGAAAGTCCATGATTCAAACACCAAAGTGGTGGCCTGTAGGGTAGCATGAGAATCAGGAAGGCAGAGTATTGTTTTGTAGAATTCAAAATCAGATAATAATTTAATAATCTGCATTCAACATCCATGTTACAGAATCTGATGGAGAAATTACTGTAAAAAAAAGACAATTTATGTCTTTATAAAATTAAGCACATCTTTGGAAAAGTATGAAGCTTTCATGCTGTGGCTAAAATACAATATTTCTTTTTTGGTTTCTGCAGGAATTGTTTCTGCTAATTAAAAACTTAAAAGGAAGAATTGCCCCTTTTTTCTGACTAAAATTATGGTATGCTGTTTAACAGAATGCTCTGCAGGGGACTGGGCATTGATTTGTTGGTTCATGCCTTACTCATTTGGCTGCATGGTATCTGTCCATCCAGTCATATGGTGAAAATACTTTGTAGTAGAATATGAGTTTTTCAGTGAAGATACCTGCAAACAGCTTGTGTGAGTGCATTAGTGCAACTCAATAGCATAGGGATCAGAAAATGACCATTAGAGATCTTGAAACCCAACATAAACAGAAATTACTCTTCCTTGTTCAAAGTCATTTCCTTATTATGACCACGTGAAGGATGGAACCCTTGCTTTGACTTGTACCCTGCAGAAAAATGTAAGATCCCTTTGTAGGTTCAGAAACTGCTTTGAATACAGCAAAAAGCTGACACTTGCCATATTGCATTTTGTTTATCACGTCATTGCTGTAAATCAGACACAGGCACAGACAAATCTGTGTTTAAGGATTTTCATATTTTACTGTAAATTGCTGTTTGTACTGTGATTCCAACTTTGGGGCATATATTTCTTTCCTCTCGAGATTTGTTTGCAAATATATAGATTGACTGGTTTAAAGACAAGCTAGATTTCCTCTTGTAGGCATCCAGAGTAGAAACGTGTCCAAAAACCCAACATTTTTAATATTCATAAATAATGAAAAGTTCACCAACTGCCATTCTGTAGCTTGAAGTTAGGCTCCAGATGCCTTAATGCATTTGGTTCCTGTTTTTTAATTGTCAAGCTGGGACAACAATTTAAGTTTGGTGGGAGCGTTACTACAGGTGATCTTGTATGAGGTTCTGCTGGTTTTGTCATGTTCTTCAACTGATAACCAAGTTAAGGAGTGTTATAGAACATGAGCATTGCTGCACTGGATTTCAGTTAAGTGAGATTTGTAAGAACAGTAATTATATTTTATGTCAGCTGCTGAAAAAGTGAAAGCACATCTATTTTCTTACCCTTCTGTAATAAATCTTACAGAATTGTAAAGCAAAGTTGCCCCTTCTTCCTGAAAGCTGCAGTCTTTGTTTCTCATCTCTGATATCCTGTTACAGTCTTACCTTCATGAAGACTACACTAACTAAAATGTTGTTGAGACAAGGAAGTTGTTTATGGAGAAATGTGGCTTTCTTTATAGATATTTTAGCAGAGAGGAGTAAGAAGTGCTGTGCAGACAATGAAACCATGTTAATTCAGGTCATAGCTTAGACAATATTTATGCTTTCTTAGATACAAAATTTGTTTGCTGGGCTTGCGCCTTTGTAGTGTCATATCATGAAAATGGTTTTACATGGTTTGGGAGTGTTTTCATTGCACTGTAATATATGCATGACTTTAATTGTGATCATGCAAGGAAATTAAGAGTGTTAGAGCTGAGGTCAATCAGAACAGCTGTATCCGCTGTCATGCCAGATTCAGGAAAGTCACTGTGCTGGGTATGTACTTCCTCAAAACCTACCTATGACACAAAATACAAACCAGGAGACTTTTTCCAAATTTTTGTAGCGGTCTGATTGCTGGACTGGTTGCCTTTTGTATATTGAAAATAATTACGAATATATAAAAATTATTATCAAAACTATGTAGAATTCACAAATAGTTTTTGGTGAAATAGAGAGGAATTAGACAATTCAGAACAATCTCGGAATTAATAAATTATTCATACTAATATGTTTCACTTAAAAATACATGCACATTTTGGAAACTCAGTACTAAGCAATACCAAAATGAAGTATTTCATCATGACTCTAACAAAATACGCATTGGAATCTAACTTTGGCCCACACCTGACTGGAAATAAAAATTAATTTAATTCTCCCAGTATTCATCAGTCACAAAGCAGCTTGGAAAGTACGTGAATTGAGTGACTGTGAATCCAAACATTTCATATATTAAGCAGCTGCATTCCTTTACAAAAATCTAGCAGCATATATTGGCGGGTTGGGCTGACTGGGACATGTGTAATGAGCAAGGCTGTAAACAGAAGAGAGGTGATAATGTTGACTGAATTAGCTTGTCAGTTATACTGAAGTAGGTCTGCTGAAACAACAGATTTTGTCACATTTACACTGGTTCAACTAAGAGCAAAATTTGACCTCGGTCCTGGAGGGGGAATACAGCTGAAGAAAAATAATGAGTTTTCCCACTTAAGGAAGCAAGATAAATGGCCAGTTGTGTGTGATACTAAGTATTTATTACCTGTAGTTCTCTGTCAGCAGTATTAGAGAGCTGTTAAGCACTGCTTACAAAAATCTTTTCTTTTGTGTGCAGATGATGACATCTTTTCCAGTGCATTTTGTGAAAACTCTGAGAAGCTTATCAATGTACATTTGTTTGCCCTGGCTGCTAAGTATTATTCTTTGTCCAACCTTGGAGTGTGCACCCCATTAGAAGATGTGCTTGAAGCACTGAAAAGAGACAGTGAAGGAGCAACAGGTATATTTGCATTTGTATTTTAATGTTTACTTATTCACTATAGGACTATAAAAGAGTTTTGGTTTTGGAGGGTAGTTTGTTGTTTGGGGATTTTTTCCTATATGATCCTCACTTCCATTTTCATTTATTCTTGGATAGTTTCATTATTGTCTTTGCTTACAAAACGGATTATCTTGCTAAAATTTGAGCATTTGGTTTCTATAGACCCATCATGGGATTCAGTTTTAAAGGGGATGGGACAGAGAGGTGGGCACACTGCTATATGTGATACCTTGTTAATTCTTTTTTTTTTGTCTTGTGCCCAACTGGCAAGAATCATAGTTGCTACTCATGCTTTTCTTAGAAGTATCACCCTAAAATATGGCAAATATATGATGTCTTAGTAAAAAAAGATTTTATTAATTCTGTATTTTTGGGACTAATACCAATTATATGTGATAAAAGAAGAGTAATTTCATTTTCTGTAGTTAAAGAAATTGAATTAAAACACTCTTAAAGTGGCATCAAGTTGGACACTGGGAATCTTAGCCCGAATGTAATTTTTGAATCAGATGATAAACTGACATTCATCCTTACTTGGACTGCTGTCATTTTCACTGCAAATGTTCTATTCATGGAGTCCTCAGCCTCACTATATTTTGAAATTTCTCATTAGTTTTTAAGAGACAGACTGAGCAGCTCTCTGCCTTTGCCTTCTAATGCCTTTTATCTCTGGGATGCATTAAAACTCCTGACATTTCTTATCCTAAGTGATAGCACCATTATACAAATGTTGTGCATCTCTCCCATTTTCTACAGTGATCTCTCCAATTTTGCCATTTTTCATGGTTGGCTCCTCAGGTTGTTTTAGAAGTACTAGAATGCCATTACTGAGATACTCCTAATGATTTGTAGTGCACTCCTCTTACTTTTTGGCTTCTCTCCCTATGCCCTTAGTGCATCAGAAACCCTTTTTTCTTCCTTGACAACTGTATGCTGCTTTTCTTTCCCACTAGCTTTTTAGCTATTTTCATTTTTACTATGTCTCATTCCCCGTGTTCCTCTTAATTTTCTGTAATTCTCTTCTTATACTTTTTGTACTTGAGTTCATACCTGGATTCACTTTCTTAGCCAAAACTTTGAGGATTCTTTCATCTTCTTGTCATGCAGAATGGAGCATCAGGAATAAGGCAGTTGCTAAATATTTTGTTTTCTGTGTGGCAGGAGTGATGCTTGGTTGGGTAGCTGGGGCCTGGGTTTGTATTTTTGCAGTACTTCTCAACTGTACTTCTTGGGAAATATAAAATGTGTTCCAAATGTGTACAATAGAATTATAATTCAGAACCTTTGTGCTGAATTGGCAGTAAATATCGGTTACATTAACTTAATTGAAGTTCCTGGTAATCATTTGGCAGAGGCAAAATACCAATTTATGGATTCAGTGTGCCAGTTGTCAAATGAAAGTTGTGATCTTTGAGCTATTTTAGATATTTTGAACTAATTTCTACATTGCAGAAGATATGTTTGTTCCCTGACATGCTAAAGCTTGCAAGTTGAAAGAAATATAAGTCCGGCAACTTTATGAGTGTTGCTTGTATTCTGAGAAATATGCATCAGGATAATTCCATTCATGTTTCAGATGTTTTGAGTAAGTTTTCTTCTTCTAAGACAATCAGACTTTTGAGCTTATTCCCACAGTTTGCATTCTTATGTAGTTCTCTATCTTCTTTGCAATCTTAATGTAGCTATGTTGCTGTCCTTCCTGGGAATAACTGGGAAGCACATTTTAAGAATGTTGTGGACACAGCTAGTCAGAATGGGGTTCTGAGTCTGAAGGGTGTTCCCTTTGCTTTGTAACCACCCAGAAGTGAGGGTTGCATTGAGAGTGCTCCATCTTTGCAGTGTGTTTATGGCCAAAGTAATAATCATGCCATGCAGTGAATACTAATGAATCCATCTTTAAATTCCGTGTGCTGGAATATCACTCTCCTCAGAAGGGTTTTTTTGAGTACATGGTCAGTCCAGTTCCTGACTCTGGATCACAGAGTTAAATCACCCTAGTAAACTTCTGTATAGATGGTGTTGTGTGGTGTGGACTATGGATTTATACTTCTCTATCTGCTGTATCTGAATTTCCACGTCTCTGGGATATAAAACCGCTGCACCCTGCCATAGGAGATTTTAAAAACATCTGTGTAAGCTGTATATAAAAAACAGTCTCTCCTCAATTTGCTGAGCTTCACAACTAAAGATGTAGCTGTAAATGACACTACCGAGTTAAAGCAGTTCTTCAAATGGAATACAGGTACTCATGCTAGGGATTCCCAATGGAAATAAGCAACATTTCATTACCAACTAAAACTGGTAACATGAAGCTTTCTGTTACTCTATCATATCCAAGCTGCTTCTGTAAAGTATTTGAAACCACACTATCTTTTTTTCATCACAAAGGGAGATGGTTCTCTAAATTTCTGATGTTTCTTGAGATTAGTATTTGTTCTGTCTGCATCAGTTGTACATAATAAGGAAATGTACATGTACAATTATTTGTTTCAAGAAAGTAATTTTGTGATAGCAGAAAGAATTTACACAGTTTGAGTCAAGCTACTGTTTTTTTTTTTAATTCAAATTTTCAGTTGTCTGGGACAGTCACAGATAAATTTGTTTGCATTAGTTTGTAATGTCTGCTTGTTTTTCAGAATAATATAAAAACCTATCAGAATTTTGCATAAAAAGCAGGAAAAATAAAATTTATTTTATTGTAATTTTCTCCAAAAAGTATTATTTTCCCTGAGCTGAAATATAAACAGCGTGTTATCCTGCAGAAAGCAGGGAAAGAAGTAAAAAAATGCTTAAGAAGCTTTTGTAGCTATGGTGATATATAAACTATATCTATAGCTATAAACAAATTGTGCCTTTTCTGTCTGGAACCTCAGCTCTTGTAAGTTAGGTAATTGTTCTGGATTTCTACCATGTCTGAAATGCTTAATTTGGATTAAGTACTCTCTGACATAGTACTTCACCTAGCATTACCCCATTCAGTCTTTTGAGTTCATAACAGAGAAAAGAGTAAAGGTGCAGTATGTGGTCATCCTCCAAAGTGACAGTGCTGCTTTGGAGAAAAAACAAGTTTTATTTCTGTCGAGAAGTTAAATGTCTGTTTCTTCTCCTTCCAATTCTGCTTCTTTTTCTGATGAGCCTATCCAGACACAAAAATGTTCAAACATAAACAAAAAGAGAGACTTTTTTTCTTTTTAAATTTTTTTTCCTGTCTGTTTTTCTTTAACCTGATATGCTTACAAATTATGAGCTTTTTAGGATGCTATATAGACCTTAACAATTTTAAAGTTAAGGAAATTCTTCAATGAGATGACAAACACTTGTTTCTGCTATTTGTATTGTTTAAGTCTTTTAGTCTATTTTTCCTTTTGTCAGTTCATAGAGTCTATATTAGATTTTAAGTATTGTCATAACAGTTTATTATCAAAACCCCAGATGTTTAAGAAATACAGATCCCTTGGGGTTTGGGAAAAATAGAGAAAACACTGGGTTTCTTATGAGCTCAGTTCAATTCCCCACTCTCTTTTAAAGAAGTAACACACTTGGCTCTGCTCCCAGCATGATCTGATCAAGAAATGAACATGGTTTTTGCCTAATGATCAGTTTCTGGACAGATGAATACATACTGTGCATGAAGCAGAAAATGGGAAAGTATATTAATCTGCCTAGTCATGTAGAAAAGTCCTGTTTTCTAGGAGCATGCTCATCAGTAATGATCCAGTTTCTTCTACCATCACTCAGACTTACCATCAATTTAACTAGATCCAAGTGTACTGCAGCATTGGATCCCTAAGAGAAACGTGGGTGTTTCCCAGGGGAGTGACTTCTGAGCTCTTGCTTTGGCTGGGTGGCACAGAGGTTAGCAAGTGAGTGCTTGGTGTTCTCCACAAACAGTTAACCCATTATGGAGGTTGACTCCATCTCATTAGCACACTCTCCAGCTACACTGAAATGAGTGATTTTCTGCCATAAAGGTGTAACAGTTCTATAACCAATCCATAGGGTAAATAAAGAAAAGGAAAGTTCATCTTCCTCTGAATTTTCCCAGGATCGCTCATAGCTTTTAGTAGAGGTATCTCCCTCTTGATACTGTCAGCAAATCTGCAGCATTAACAAGCTGTACAATGTGATTATTTATTGTCCCTGTCCTTATATTTCATTTATGGAAAGGTAAATGTGATAAATGAGACAAAAAGAAATATTTTTCAATAAAAAGGAAGAAATAGTACAGTTTTATAGTCGTAGCCATTGTCTAATATCTGGTCAGGTATTAAATATGCTATATCTTAAAGAAACTGCGTTTTACAGGGTTTTGAATGTTGCTAATTCAGCCATAGTTCAGAAGTTTACTCTTGTAATCATATAATGAGTTTTTAATTAAAAATTACTACCCTGAAAATATATAAACTGTGAAGTATATATTAGCTTTTTTTTCCTGATTGATCACAAATCCTTATTATTACAGGTTGTGGTAATGTGTATTTATTTTCCTAATCTGATACAGGTATCAAACCAGATGAGTTTATGAATAATAAGAAATCACATGAAGTGCAGGTGATGTCAGAGCTGGTACACAGCATAGCAAATTATTGTGGGATAAAGCAGGTAAGAAAGCGTTTCTTATTTTGTGTTACCAGGTACCTTCTGAGTTATTCTCCTTGTTGTCTGCAAATACATCACTTTGATATTCTGTCACTGCTGTTCTTATTTTTCCTGTACATAATTGGAGCTAAAGAAGAGCTATCGGGATCAAACTGAAGGAAAATTTTGTTTACAGATTTATTGTTCCAAAGGAACTGCCTTTCAGTGACTCATAATCACTCATGAGTAATTTTAAAAAGTTATGATCATCCTCTGTGTGTTGAGCAGCTAAAAACTGTTCTGCTTTTTGGACCAGTACTGTCTTGTTTGTCAGTATTATATTGCTGGCAGGTTTGCACATGTCTCAGTAGGAGAGCTGCCTTGTGTCGTGCACACAAGCATGTCACACAGAGACCAAGGCAGAATATCTTGAGAAATTTTGAAAGCTCTTCTTATTCTGATGCAAGATTTAAATAATTTCCTGTTTTTTAATGCTATTCAGCTTTGTTTAACATGGATTGAGATCTATAAATTGGAAATCTAGTTATGGTGTTTTTAGTTTGAAAAGAGACCAAATTAAGCAGAGATTTATGTAAGAGTGCGTATGAAATACATTTGGTAGAACATGTATGAGGCCTGGACACCCAACACCATTATCACCAAGCAATTACTTTGTGAGTTGGCTCTTTCATACATCAGATGCTAGGTTTGTCTTTGGGCGGTGAAGAATTGCAGGATTCCTTTCTCAAATTTGATTGTAATTTAAAACTTTTTTTTGTATACATTTTATCATGATTGTACAGTGCACTGTTTCAGTAAAACCTTCTAGAGGTTTATTTATGTATCTGTGGACAAAACATAAGCACCCCAGCAATATGACATTTTTGAGTAGTATGTTCACATTTTGTTAGACAAAATGCACCAATACCATTTCCTCAGTTTACATACACATGCTTTTTTGTAAGCTTTTTCAGTGTTAAAGCTTATGTTAGGTTCCATACCTTAGGCCTGTGTTGTGGTAAGGCTAAATTTTTCAGGTGAGCTGAGTTTATTTATTCATTTTAATCTCTCTAATGCTGGTAACTGTCCAATGTAGCTTCATCCTTGCTTTAAACTGGAGGTGACATGGGGCTCTCAACAGACATTTGATTCCTTTCTACATCTGAGCTGCACTTGCTTTCCATGCAAGGGGCTGTAACTGTAAATGGAGACTTATTTCATTCAGGCTAATATTCATTCCCACAAAGATGTGTGGAGAACAAACTATATTTGTTTAAAACCAAAGGTTAATAAGGTATTTGCCCAGATTTTATGGTATTTTCTCTGAGTATTCTTTTATGTAAGTGAATATGTCTAAGTATAGTTTAAAATTAATGTACCTGCAGCATCCCAAGTTGCTGTTGCTCCCATCGCAGGGAAAGCCCCAAAACTTGGATTCAGCTCTGAATTGCTGAAGCTGAACTTTGGTTAGAGGTTATTTGGCTCAGACTGAGTTTAATTTAGATAAGTAAATGATGCTGTACTCTTGCTAGATTTGGGTGAGGCCTTTGTGGCATCCTTTGAAACAGAGATCAAAATTCTCAGTCCTGACCATCTGTTTCATGAGGAACAGCTGATGAAGACAAAGTTTTAAGCAGTGTTCTTACAACTGGGATTGTCAAGTAAACAGAGAGCTTTAATTAAGGCCAAACATTGCTGGGTGAGACACAATCAGTTTGTGAGCACCTGCGATCACTTACAGCGGTGGAAGGCGGGCTCCCAGCCACAGTGATGAGCGTGGTGCCCTCCACAGCCCCAGCGTGGGTGTGCTCTCTACAGAACAGAAATACACCAGCAGCACATTTGTGAATGTCTTGTATTCTCTCATGAGCATGGTTTTTTGCCTTGTTTACCTTTTGTTTCAAGCAAATATTAGTTGTTAAGTCCTTTCATGTACTGAAAAAGCTGTAGGAGGGTGTAGTTTGCTTACAGTGCAATAGTAAGTGGTCTCTGCATTTGCTGGAAAGTGGTGTTTCGTATTGCGTTTTCATTTAGATTTAAATAGTCCCTGTGAGATTCAGGAATGAAAGGAAAGCAAAAACCCTGTTCAGAAAGTAAAAAAGCCATCTTTGTAACTTAACCAAAGTTTTGAGGTAGCTGGTTACTAGTAAAATCACAATCCACTCCTTACTAAGTATCTATCAATATGCTGCAATTTCATCCAGGGATTAATACTTTTATCAGGTAGCTTGGAATATCTCTATACATGGGATTATTTTCTGTTAACTTTTTAAAAAAAATTATGACATTAAATGAAAGATATTATTGCAATGTATCACTAAATATGAAATGCTGACTATAATTTTTTTCCATTTTAGTCATACACTGTAACAGCATTTGTGCAAAGTTACAAATACCTAATATATGAACAGAGCTTTCCTGTTACTTTGGAAAATAAAAAAAGAAAAGCCTCCTTCTCAGTCTTCAAAAATGAAGACTTTTGTTTTTGTTTTCTTTCAACTTAAAAAAAAAGCAGCAATTATAAATTTTTAGGAGTTTTTCCTTATTGATTTTTTTCCATCCTTCTTGCAAACAAAATATATGTAGCATTTAATTAAAAAATCTAGAGCCATGAAAACACAACACATGTTTTACAACAGCACATGTCCTCAGGGTGTTTCTTTCAGATATTACAGATCACTGAGAGTTTGAAAAATGCCGTCCATTTCACCTCCATACCCACGTTGTATGATGGGTGGTAGAGGATATTGCTCTCTGTTGGTATTTTATAATGTACAATAGTAAATAGTTAAATAAGAATAAAAGCAAAAATGTTATTACCACTGTAATCACTTCTAGGTTTATTATTTTAATTCAAACATTAAAGCAAAATAACTAAAGGGCTTTTTTTTTCCAGTAGTTTGCTGACCATTTTAAGCACTGTTGCTATCATATAAGTGGAACTGGTTTTTTTTTAAAGAAGTTCTTGATTAAACTCTGAAAAGAAGCCAGTGTTGACTCCTCTTTGCTTAAGTGCACATTTGATTTATTTAATGTATTGGTCAAAGTTTTCCTTGGAAATTACAGCATGTGCAGCAAGACTTGGAGTGTATAATGTAAGGATGATATAATTCTGCATTCAGCATCCATTACATTTGTGATTTGGTGCTGGGAAATGTTGGAATGCTTGATTGTGCCAGAAACTGTGTTTGAACATAGGACCCAACTCACTGTGGACAAGACCTTTGGAGTATATTATATCATGGAAATTTCATTTTAAAAGTTCACGCTTGACAGATATGCTGTGGATTGCTTATTAGCTTTCCCTATGTAATCAATGGAAGGTAAAGCAGGGAATAATTTAATTCAGTTTATTTGTTTAGTGCAAGATCATTGCTTGCTATTTTTAGTCACCTTTTCGTTTTGTTTCTAAATCCCAGTGCTAATTTAACAATGTGTTACTATTTTTTATTTACTTGAGAAACTTTCCCCAAGCTGCAGCTGGTCTCTACAGCCACCAGGGATCACACGTAGGAACTATTCACTCCCCCTCTTAGGTAACAAAAAGCTGCTTTTTACTGAAAAAATTCAGAACTTGAAGTGGAGGTGTGCATATTCTACATAATTATAATATCTGTTAAATAAAAGGGTGGGTAAAATTATTCTTTCAATACTTCCCTTTCATTTTAAATTACAGAAACAAGGAATGGGTCAGGTTGCAAGGAACCACAGTGAGTCACCTGGTCCAACCTCCGTGTTCAAGCAGGGTCATCCTAGAGTACATGGAACAGGACAGTGTCCAGATTATTCCTTAATGTCTTAATATTCCAGTGCTCAGTCACCTGCAAAGTAAAGTTCTTCCTAATAAATAAATAAATAAATTCCTAATGAATAAAGTTCAGGTGGAACTTCCTTGTGCCTCTGTTTCCACCCGTTGCCTCTTGTCCTATTGCTTGGCACCACCGAGAAGAGCCTGGAAACCTCCTCTTAACACCCTCCCTTCACATACTCCCTTCACATATACTGTCAGTTGTCTCCTTTCAAGGCTGCACAGGCCCAGCTCCCTCAGCCTTTCCTCATAAGAGAGGTGCTCCAGTCCCCTCGTGATCTTTGTTGCCCACTGCTTGACGTGCTCCAGGAGCTCCATGTCTCTCCTCTCCTGAGGTGCCCAGAACCAGGCACAACACTCCAGGTGTGGCCTCAGTATGGCTCAGTAGATCACAATATTGGTGATAAATGCGACAAATAAATGACATTTCAAAAAGTATGCTTAAGTTATATAAATTCTATTTCACTAAATTAATTCCTGTGCAGAATTATTTCAAAAAATGTTGTGGTTGTAGCTTGCCTAGATTGCAAATATTCATCAATATCACATGATGACTACCCATGAGAATGCCATGTACTAGCTGAGTAAACAATTTGTACCTAATAGTATTCTCCACTGTTTTCCATCGTCCTTAGTGACACTGGCTTGAATTTTTCTTTCTAATTCCATGGCTGTCCAAATATTTTTTTATCAATAAATCATTCTTTCTCATTGAGTAAGAATATTGCTGTATTAAATATTTTTACCTGGTAAAAAACTATGCAGTTGAATTTAAGATGCATCAATGTAGTGTGTGCTGCAATTTCGGTTTAGCAGTATCAGTTTAAGCTTTCTTATGAACATGTGACAGACCAAGAACTAAACATAGATGTTCTTGAATAAAACACTTCCAGGAGCTTCTACAAAGAAGTCATTATATCTAGTCAATATTATTTTTGGTAGATAACTGGACAGAAGTGAACATTATAATTTCCTTTCCTTTGAGAAGTCTCACTCTGCCAATTCTTGTAAAATACTGTGTTATGTATTTATTACATATTAAAACATACATTATATAAAGCTGTGATTATGTACTGAAAGGTCTCAGGTTACTCTTGTTTCTGCTAATACTTTGTAAGGATATTTCCTTCCTGAGTTACATCAGTCACTAAACTAGCACATGGTATCAGCTATGACACAAATTAAACTGGTACCTATCACTCCTTCCTCTAGAATGGGCAGTGGAAAGTAATGTGGCTTATGAGTCCCATTGTTTATTAGAAAAGCATCCTCATGTTGAACAAAGCTGTATGGATTGTTTTCACAGAATGGGAAAGCAGAATAAACAAGCATTCTGACCTAAAAGAGTATCAATATCACCCATCTTTAGGTCAGATCTGAAGGGATTAAATTAAGCACTGAAACCGAAGATGCTTTTTGCTGTGCACCCACTGGTTGTAGGCTCCTCAGTGTGGGAATTAGGTGCCTAAAGCTGAATACTGTGAACTGTTTATTTGCTAACTCTGACCCAGTTTAGCAAGGGCAGGTGGAATTGCTGGTGGTTTATAGTTTGGGGTTTTTTTGGCAGAAAAGAAAGGCCTGTGTCAAAAAATGTACCGCAAGTCTTTACAAGAAACAGGGCATGTGAATTGCATAACACTGCAGTGTCTATTTTCTGGAGCACATCAGTTAAAACTTAATTCTGTGTTTCAAAATCAAAAGGTGGATCAACAAAGCAAAAGAACTAAGTGCATTGAGAAGTATGATGCTAATAAGGTACCTATTCAACCCATGCTTAAATTTTTAGGGAGTAATTTTGCACTTAAAGTGTGCCTTGTTGCTCATTAATATAGCAATTTTCTTTTCCTTTATTTTTTCTCCATTATCTAGGTGATTGATATAGGTTCTGGAAAAGGCTACCTGAGTTCATTTTTGTCCATGCAATATAACTTAAAAGTTTATGGCATTGACTCCTCAAGCTCCAACACAAATGGTGCTCATGAAAGAAATAGAAAATTGAAGAAACACTGGAGAGCATATCAGAGTCGAGGAAAAGAAAGCCTTAAAAGACAGAGTTTGGAAATGGCAAATGACAAGCCAGTGGAAAATGAAATTAATTGTAAAACAATCAATGAAGAACTCTTAAATAATGCCAATAGTCTTCAAAATCAGGGCCAAGTGATTATCCAAGATTTAGTTCCTTCTTGTAGTTTCACAGAAACAGCTACACTCAAAATCAACACAGAAACTGAAGCTGATGTAGTGACTGGGACACAATCTCATGAGACCAAACTTTCTGAAGAGGTTCTTGCTATTCTAAATGTTCTTCCTGTTGATGCTGTGGAAGATTTTTCTTCATCTCATTGTAACTGTGGGGAACCCTGTGAAGAGGAAAAAGTACAAAGAAAAATGACATCTCTCAAGACTAAAGCAAGAAAGTCAAGTGAATCGAACCTGTATTTTCCATTGACCTCTTGCATCACTGCAGAAACAGAACTCAATGACATCATAACAGATCTGGAGGTTATTCTACTCTAAATATTTACTATTTTTAGATTGTCTCTTGTCTTTATATTGCCATTTTAATATGTACATGTTTGCTGAGTGTACATAGAGTACTGTCTCTGGTGGAAATGAATATTCTGGCCCAATAAAGGTTTTTAACCAGGTAGCAGAAGTATGTCTATCAGATGAAGATTGTATTTCTATTTTGATATATGTGTTGGGATTTTTTGAATCAGTCTTCAGAATTTATGAGGGAGATGATAATCAGCTGTCATGGTTAACAGCACATTCAGTTATTTTACAACTGTCATTATAGATAAAATCTAATTATTATGAATTTTTTATCATTTACCAGGTAGATGCATATATTAGGCATTGGAGATTCAATTTTCCTAAAAGTTCTTACTTTTTCAAGTCATATATTTTTATACTTTCATTCATACTGGGAAGGCATAGGAAAATTTATTGTGTATAGTACTCAATATGAAGATTTTGTAAAGAATTATTTTATTTTGACTTTACAGAATTACGTTAAGTTCATTTAGTAATTTACTAGCTGGCAGAGTTTGTGTCTACACAAACTAGCCCAAGTTCAGCTGCTAGTGGCACAAGTCTAGAAACTCTGAGGTTGTATGTTTAGTTTTTATGCCTGAACTAAAATACATTGATTGAGTAGATGCATTCAGTCTTTTGTGAAATGACAAAAACTTTGCTGTGTTCAGTAGTAACCAAACTGTTTTATTCCAGAGTGTAATAATCTGATTTAAGACCATAGGTTTGTGCTGGCCCTGTAACTTGAGCAATACAAGCAGCTGAGTATCTGAGAACATGTGGAACAAGCTCATGTCTGTCTGCAAAAGACACCCTGAGCTGCAGGGTTTGTTGATGAAGCATATGCCTATACATTTGTACAGCTGGATTTTGTATCCTCTTAGTGAGTAATTTGTAAAATGTTAAAGGTGGAAGAAATCCTATATCACTGCCTTTCTTGATATAAAAAAATACTGTCAGGGAACATGAAAGAGGAAAGCAGAAGTTTTACTGTTTCAGACATGAATGCACTATGTAATACAGGTGGGTGAGATAATCAGATAAAATCAGAACAATTATAGAAAGGTATCTCAATTGAGTGACCCTGGCCGAATTTCTTGTTGAAAAGTGAAGGCTCTGGGGAGACCTTCCAGTACCTAAATGGGACCTTACAAGAAGGCTAGAGGGAGAATGTTTAAGAGGGCATGTAATGATATAACAAACCTTAAGATGAAGGAGGGTAGATTTAGCTTAGGTAATACTAAAAGGAAATTATTTACTGTAAGGGTGATGAGACACTGGAAAAAAATTGCCCAAAGAAGTTGTGGATGCCACTAGAAGTGTTGAAGGCCAGGTTGGATGAGGCTTTGAGCAACCTGATGTAGTGGGGAAGGGGGGTTGGAACTAGGTGATCTCCAAGGTCCTTTCCAACCCTAATGACTTTGATTCTATGAGTAATAAATATGTCTAGAATTCAAAGCAACACCGTGTTTGCCATGTGGATCCCAACTAGTAATGTCAGAAGGGAAATATCTTATTAGGAATGCTGAGAAGAGAGAGAATTTTCATGGAGAAATGGAGGTAAAAACAAAGTTGCAGAAAAAAAGAAAGTAGGAAATAGAATGGACAGAAGAGCAGAGCATCTGAAGCTGAAGTTCTTCCTTTGTGCTGTGAAGGAGAGTGCCCATTTGTTGTTGAATAGTAGCAGGCATACTGTGAAACTGTGGGTACTGTTGTTTGGGAAATAACAAAGCTGCTCTTCACCTTACACCTGTATTTAGGAAGTTGGTTTGATTTCGACAGCTTAAACTAGCAGAAATGTCTTAGATAAGTCCTGCCAGTTTTACAGCAAGGAATCTTTACTACGAAAAGTAGCAGTGGTACTAATAACAAGAACAGGAAACCTAGGAAAGACTAGAGAAAATGGTCTGTGCCCAGTAAACATGTAGATGTTTCCTTCCATGCAGCTGTGTTACTCATAGTCTTGAACTTCTGCATCATGGCCAGTTTTCACCATATTTTCTTAGCACTGAAGAGCTTTGATTAGCATTGCAAAATTTTAGAACAGAACAGCAGGAGTCCTCATGGAATTGAGTGTTTCTATCTTACAGCTCACTATTTGCCCCACATTTGCACCACATTGTTTTTATTTGTGCTCTATCAGTTGATGAAGGATGTGATTTATTATTGCCTTTTTTTTTTTTTTTCTTCTTAGGACTGTATGATGGTTGGTCTACATACATGTGGAGATCTTGCTGCAAATACATTACGAATTTTTACTGCCAAGCCTGAAATCAAAGCCGTTTGCAGTGTGGGCTGCTGCTACCATCTGTTGTCAGAACAGTTTGAAAACCAAGAAGGTAATTCTTCTGAGCTTAACTTGTGGCTGCCAGTTTGCATGTTAAGAGTATTATGCCTTTTAATTAATAACCTCCTTGTGTTTATTCCTCTCCAGTGGCTTATTTAGTACTGGTTTGATTTACTTTATGAGGGTCATTCACTCCCAGATGCATTGTTTCTTTTCCATTATGCCAATGTTCCTAATATTTTTACTGAGATTAAGGACATAAGTGCATAGTGTGTTTATATGGTTATAACTACAGCTGGTTTTATTTCATTAACTCACTTATACATGTATAGACTCTTTTAGTCTAGTATGTTTCCATCCTTTTGAAATATTTTGTACCAGATTTTGTCCTCGGCTGTCTGCATGCACCATCCAGTTATGTTATGCTGTACATATACAACGAGCAGAATGACGATTTTTTAATGTAAGGTAATACTCAAAAAAACATTCATCTGGGTGCTGTGCCAGTCTTTGCCCATCATGAAACAGTACATATATAAGAGTTTTTCTTGGGAAGATAACAGGAAGATTATTTGTAGATTCAGAATACAGGCAAATTTTCCTACAAATGGTAAGGAGAGGGTTTCATTTTTGAGAGAAAGTTGGTATTTTTACTTGAAATTGTGTATAATGAAAAATATTTAAGGAACTGGCTTTCCTGAGACAAGTGGTACATAGCTGATGTCTAAATGACCATCTGCTGACATGCTACAACCTGATCATCATATCAGTAAATCTGAAAAAGTTGTGGCTTGGCAAGGTTTACTTCAGCTCTTTCAGGGAACTTCACAGACACAAAGGCACGTGGGATCCAGGTATTGCTCTTTAAGAGTTAGCTGCTTAAATAGTCGCGGCACAGCTCCACACTGACCATGACACATGCTGGCTCTTCCTTGCTTTAATAATCTTTTTGTATTGTTTTTAATTAACTCTGCAACTATTTTAAGAGTTTTTTAAGTGTATTAGTCTTAGTAATTTCAAAATACTTAACCTCACTCCAAATGGATGTGAGCAAAGAAAAAGGAAGTACAATTGAAATTTCTGTGCTACAGAAATGCAGTTAGAGAAAAAATATACAATTACTTTACGTCAGAGTTTTAAGAAATGAAAAAGTTTTCAGGTACTTCTCATTAAGTCTGAGTGTCTGAAACATTTGCTTGTTTCTTATTATTGTAAAGAGGACATGGCTTCCTGTGCTAGCTGTATAGGATTACTTTTTGCAGAGCAGTGCATAAACTCAGACACCACAAAAGGATCAGGCATGAAAACCTTTTCAAAGTTCAAACAAACAGATATATGTACATGGTTAGAAGAGATACTGCAATTTCCTAGTAGTATAAAAATTAAGTCAAATTGCATGTTGAATTGATTTTACTCTGCTTGAAGGACAAAATTATTCTCAAAGAAGAACGTTTGGACAGAACAAAAGGAAATTACAGTATACTTTTTTTTGGGAAAAAAATATATATTTTCCTAGTAGTGCTCCAAATATTTTTATTTTTTTTACTACTACTATGAGAGTGCATATTCTAAAATATATAATGCTATTGCATTCCCCTACTAAGTCATCTACCATATGCCTTGTTCTTAAATGTGCAGTGGAGGGCTAAGAGAACAAGAGTTAAGATTTCTTCAAATGGAAAATGGGAAAGAATTCAGACTGTATCTTGTGTCTGCATTTCCTATGCGTGGACTTCAAACTGACAAAGCCTTCTGGAGGATCCTAGGGGACTCTGTCACTTATCAGATGGCAGTTGGTCCAACAATTCAAACAGTAAACAAACTCCTCTGCGGCTGTTGGAAGCAAGTGGATTTTAATACTGCTTCCAGAATGGACTAAATCATAGCATTTAAGTAGCAAGTAACTTCTGAAGGTCATCTGGACCAGATCATGGCACAAAGCAGGGCCAGCTTAGATCATTTCAGTCAGGGTCTTGTCCATTCATGTTTTGAATATCTCCAAGGACAGTGATTCGGTGGCCCATTTCAGTGTTTGCCCTCACCATGAATTTCTTTTCTTCACATCCATTTGGAGTTTGCAGCTTTTGTGCATTGTCTGTTGTCTTTTTTATTTTGCGCTGCCAAGAATAGTCCAGCTTAATCCTTTTTGTTGTCTTTCCTTTAGGAAAACAGCAGTTAGATCCCTTCTTGACCTTCTCTGCAGCCCTTTAGTGCTTTTATTACCAATAAATTCATTTCAGTCATTATGGTGGGCTGAAGAGCCCAAAGAAGCACTCCAGATACTCTCACAAGTGCTAAAAAGGGAGAATAATCACATCCTTTAATCTTCAGGCTTCACTGTCAAGCTTCAGATTACTATCGATTTTCTACCTATTTTAGAATGCACCTGTCTGAGTCATATCTTTCCATTTTGTCTATAAAGATACTAAACAAAACTTGCTGAAAGACTTCATAAAATGAAGACACACTATGACTCTGCTGTCCCCTAGTTCATGGAGCCAGACACTGCCTCACAGAAGGCTGTAGTTTGTCAGTGCCTGATGAATTCCTGCAAGGTACTGTTAACCTTCTTACTCTTCGTGGGCCTGGGCATGGTTTCCAGGAAAATGTGCTCCATAAACTTGCTGAGACTATCTGAGCTTATTCAGGTGAAGATGAGTGTGGTTTTCACCTGTTTCCTGTAATCAGGATGGACATCACCTGTCAAAGATGATAGAGTATGGTCTTCTTGGGGCACCGGTGGGTTATGTGGTCCTGAAATGCATCCCATCTGGCAGCTGGGATTATACTTCAGCCAGTATAATCTCTGGTGTAGATAGTCCTTTGCTTGCCCAGGCTCTTACACGGAACTCAGGAAAGCTCTAGGCCATCAGTCAGAGATGGCAGAGACATGTAGATGCTTTGTGTGGAGAGACTAGCTTGAATATTGGAAGCAAGTTTAGAGCTACATCTCTGCAGTGACAGATCTTCGTAAGAAGCAAAGAGAATTGTGTAGAATTTGCTGCAACACAGGAAATGACTTACTCATTTGAAATCAGTCCAGTAAACAAGGGCTTGCCTGCGAGGACACAGTGGGAAGTTCTGTTATAAAATAATTGTAGAATATTTTATCTTAACTGAGCAGCCTCAAAGTTTTTCAAAATCTGTTCTTAAAATGTCATTTGTCCCCTTTAAAAGCTTTTTTATTTTTTTGAGGTGTGCACTCTTAAAGTCAAGATTATGGCAAGTCCACCTCAAAGTTCTTGCCCCCAAAGTACCACATTTTCCATCTTTGCTGTTTCTTTAATGTAAAATCAGAGGGTTGTTCTCATAAGCGCAGTTGAATCAGAGGAGCTGTAATGGACTTCTGATTGCCATAAATTGGTATGGCTGGACAGTATGTTCTTTGGCACTTAAGATTTAATACAAGGATCAGTCTTAATTAAGGCCAATGAAAAATCCCTTTTTCACTTCATATTAACTGGAATTAACTGGTATTCATAGGAATAAAATTTACCTGTTATAATGCCTAACATAGTGTTTATAAGTCTGAGGTGTTGAGTTGACAAAATATCAACAAAATGTTACTATGGTGTTTTTGTTGGACTACTGAATTACCTTGGTTATCACAAGTTTGAGATCTTTTTTTGTTTCTGAGATGACTTCAGGGAATAATGCATTACATTTCTCACACACTCTAAAAATAGTACAGATATTGCAAGATTGGCTGATTTAGTTTGCTGTTGGGCCTGGTGTGAATACTTTGTGAGCCTTTCTGATGAAAGTAGGTGCCAGCAGTCACAATCTTGAATAATAATGCAATCAGTATATAGTGTCCTTCTGTGTCTCTAAATAAGCTGAATTCATCTGGAAATTTTTGTAATGGGACCACATTTCCAATTATGCTGGGAATAATTTTGAATTGTTAAGATCATGAAAGCCTTTGCTTTGATTTATTAGTGTCTAAAGCAACCAAGAGATGCTGTGTAACATCAAATTTCAACTCAATCTTTAAAAGTTGAAGCCAATTCTTTTAACACCTGTCTTCAAATTTCACTGCTGTTACAAGCAGTATGAAATTCTAAGTTTCAGTTAATAAGGAATAATATGACAGCTCTCGGAAAATTCGAAGTAGTTTTACTTTGGCTCTCTAAGGAGAATTGTCTGTTTATATAGAGATTCTTGTATGGATAAAATATATGTAGCCATTAGTATAATTGATTCCTTTGGGGGTTTTCTTCTCTGTTACTGCAATGGATAGTCAATTACATCCGAGTAGAAAGGATTTTACTATTTATCAGAGACATTTTACATAAACCTATTTACATAGTGAGCCATTATGTCAGTTTTTCTGGGGAAAAAAATCAGTTTGCTAGTGATTTTTAGGTTCAAATGAACTCTGTGTCTCTGTTCAGGAGATATTCTTATGATTTTTGGGAGCTGTTTTATCTTACATTCAGCTAACACATTTTTGGGGCAATGTACCAGCTGGTCAATGATTATCCATAAACAGAGAAGAACTGAAAATTTAACATATTTTGAAAAAATTTTACTTTCCTTGTAAAGGGGTTTGGGTTTCTGTGTTCTGATTCTCTTCTTTCCATCCTCCATACCACCAAATACATCAGCACCATTCTAGAAACCAGTGAAATTCTTCAGTATTACATCCTCTGTTTTGAGGAAAAAACACATGAATGTTGCTTTTGCTCTGGAGCTACTGTTAAGACCCACCACAGAGATGGGGTAACTGAGATTATTTTTAATATATCCCTTGGGGCAGATTAGAGTGAAACAAATGGCAGGTATATATATAAGTGTGTGTGTGTGTGTGTGTAGGTATATATATTTTAGAACAATTTGGTTGCAACAGAAATATAGGCGTTTCAGTTATTATCTATAGTAATATGACATTGTAAAAGCATGAAAATATCACTGAAGAAAATATATGAGGAAGAGAAAGGAAAGATTAGAGCAGCTAGCAGAGAGGAAAGATATCACCACCCATTATTTTTGCACTTCGGGAGCACTTTGCACTTCAGATGTCCATTGGTTGAAGTGATGGTCACAGTCTTGATCCATCAGGGGTGGGGGAAGCCATGAAACCAACACTTCAGGGGCTAATAAAGGCTCAGGTTCAGGTGGAAATATCCAGTGGAGGGAAGTTTTAACTCTTCAGATCATGTGCAGTCCTCAGCACACATGGTCACAGCCCCAAGCCTTACAGAGTTCAAGAAGTGATTTGGGCAATGCTCTTGGGCACATGCTGTGATCCTGGGGGATGGGGCTGTGCAGGGCTAAGAGGTGATCTTGATGATCCTTTGGGTCCCTTCCCAGCATATTCCCAGCATATTCTTTGATTCTGCAATTTGAAATAAGAGACAGGTGTAGTTGTACAGATACTTTCAGTGATAGCTATCTGATAGAAGCTCTTTTTGAGGTTGGCTTAAGTATGACAAAATATAAACTCCAGATTGTGTAAGGATTTACAAAGTCAGGTCACTCTGGGTAGAGGAGTTCTAAAGCCCTCCAGGAAGCTGGGGAAAGCAGCTTCTTAATAAGGCACTCTGGAAGAAGTCAGCAAAGCTTTTGCAGAATAAACTTTGACTATTAAAAGCTATTGAACATCATTAAGGGAACAAAAGGGCTGCAAAGGGTAGTCAAAATTCACATACCAAATTTTATCAGACTTGTGAAACATGGGAAAGCCTTGATTCAGAGGACAAATACTACAAAACTGAATTTTCTAAAGGATTACTTACACAAACATAATGGCTTCGTATCAATCTGTTCCACTCAAATATAAAAGATTACTCACTGTTTCAGGGTATTAGAGTACAGACGATTTATGTGTAGCCTAGGTATATTTTCAAAGATATTCCACAGCCAATGTCTTAAAATAGTTACCACTGATACCATGGCAACACAGGAAAACACTTCCAAGCAACAGATCAAAAAGCTTAATTTCCTTCCCAAGGCATCTTTAGATATTGCTGCATAGGGAACCTTTCCATGTATTTGTGACACAGCTAACTAGTCACTAAACCCCAGATGTTTTCTATAAAAATTAGTTTTGAAAAAAATAGGAAACTTGAAAAAAATACTAACAAGGTAAGCTTTACAGATGTTAAATGGAAGTATTACCTATTGAAGTTATTATGGTATTTTTCATTAATTAATGTAGCAAAAATATATTAAAACCTGAAACCATCTTACATTTGTATTTTTCTCAGTGTGTACAAAGTATGAGGTTAGAATTGAGAATGCCAAAGTTTTAATGCACATAATTAAAACATACTCTAGGTTTGGGTTTTGGAAATTATTTTGGTGACAGCTGATTCTGTTTCCTGGAATTAGAGAGCATTTTTCTTCCCCACTGGCCTCTGCTTCCCCCAGCAAAATCCTCATTAGTCAGGGGACTTTTTTTGGAAAGTACAAATTCAAGGAACAGTGAATTATATGGCCAAGGAAGATTTAGTCTTTTCCGTGAAGAAAAAAGGCAGTTTAGTCATTATCTATTTTTTTTGTCTATTATATATATGTCTATAATATATATTATATATATGTCTATTTATATAGCTATTTTTTTTATTTTTTCTACTTCTACAGAAGTAGACTGAAAATCCGCAATGTTGTGGAAGATAGAGGCTATGGAGGATCTGAAAAAGGTTATTTATGTTTTAGTACTACTTTGATGAAGTTGACAATATATGCAAGGCAACAAAGTAGGGTGTATGTGAAAAAAAAATGAGGAGGGTAATAAAGATTAATTTCCACTGAAAAATCTCAGAAGAAAAAATGCCATTTCAATCCATTGAATTGATAATCAGCCAAAAGCAGCCATTGGGTTTAGGGCTGGGGCCCAGAGATTCTGACAAAGCCTACAGCTCCAGGGACGCCAGGGGTGGAAAAGGCGTGCTAAGGGGAACACAATGCTACACCAAAATTGCTGTCCCCACCCCTTTCTGATCTGGCTCATCCCATGGAACTTAAGTCAGGCTTATTTTTCCCAATAACATTAAAGCTTGTTGGTCCTCTTGTTTTATAATGACCATATTTTACTGTAAAGCTTTGTGAAGTAAAATTTGAATATTAGTACACTAAAAATTGTAGTATTATTCTTAGAGATGAAAATCTATGGATGGCCTAATATTAAAGGCATTGGAGAAGCTTGTCCCATTCTCTTGAACTTCCTTATCATCATATTTGCACATACACAGTTGGCAACTGTGAAAAGGATTTTACCTTTATCTTACTTGTATTGCCTTGTACTTTTTATAATAAATATCATATCAATAAAAAATATGCTGATGTTTTGTTGTGATATTTGCCGCATTTTAATAAATGTGTGATTCAGTGTTTTTCAGAGGTTAGGTTAGAGGTAAAGTCCTTGCTATTTAACTAATATCTTCTAATATTAAACACCAGTATAGCTTCAGTTCAGCTCATCGAATGATTACCTACAATTTTCCATTTTATTTACTGTTCATAAAAGGAATTCTGTCTGATTGACTACTCTGTACTGAATTAAACGTGGTTGCTTCATGCGCTGTTGGACACTTGAGTTGTTTCCTGTGAAATGTTCCATGGAATGCTTAAAATATAATTAAAATGTTTCTTGAATATTTTTTGAGATTTATACAGTTTAGAACAGCTGTTGTGTTCTTAGATAGAAGCACAATAAGGTATTTGGTTAGCTATATAATATTAAGTATATCTGAAATTGTTGTAGACATTAAAAAAAATTCTTGTTTTTTTTTTAAATGTAGCTTGTAAATATATGAACTTTATAGCAATATGTTAATCCTAAAAATTTTAAGTGTGCTTGAGAGCAGACTTGATGTGAAAAACTTAAAGATATGTTGTAGATGTGTGGTCAACTTTTGATATGTACAAAAAATTTCTTTCTAACTTAAAGCATTAGTTTCCCTCTCTTTTTCTCCTACTTTACAGTTTCAATAATTTAAATGAAGATGATGCTTTGACTGATAATCTTTTCCAAAGATTATCTGAATTATGCATGAATACAGTTCACTGATATTGAGATTGTATCTGACAGGGTAGTAAGTTTAACTTGAATGAATGATTAGTTTGCCTAGAGGCCAGGGTATAAATTGGAAGAGATTTGCTTGAAAAGATCAAGGATTTAATCTTTCAAACTCGGCTTGCAAATTTTTATTTTTAAATATTTTAACAATGATATTAGAAAGACATATTAGTGAGAATCATACTATAGGAACCATGTCAGTCATTGTTTTCTTGCACTCAATAAGTTCTTACTGCCATCCCTGCAGCAGAAATATCCATGTATTCCATGTACTCCATAATTAGACTTGAAGTTAATTAATATTTTAGAACTTGTCATGAGGCACTTATAAATTCTTAGTACATTCCTAGTGCTGAAACCACTTGCAATCTGTTTGGCCAAATTTCATCTTTATTTCTAAAAAATCTTCTTTCTCCTTCTGCTAATAATGCTGATAATTAAAATCCTATCTTGAATCAGAGTTCTCAAACCAGTATTCAGCCCCTAAGAGCCTCTGGCATTCCTCAGGGTTGAAAGGAGAGCAAAGTGTGAAGTTGCCTGCAGAGGTTCTTGCCTGCTTGTTGTTACTCTCTGGTGGTCAGCTGCACGTCTGCCAGAAAGCCAAAGGCTTTCCCTACCTCCCATGACTTGTGGGGAGGGTTCTTTATAGTTGTGGGGTTTTTTTTCTTTGCTTAACTTTTATGGAGTGAATTCTACTTATATGTATATATCTCTGACTGTTGGTAAATTTTCTGCTGTCCCCTCTTTTTAACCCCATTACATGATTTATTCTGAAATATGCCCTAGTCATATGTGCTAAAAAGCCAGGATCTCGGCCAATTTGTGGGGGTTTTTTTGTTTTGTTTTGGTTTTTTTTTTTAAGAAAGCAGTAAATCTTATTCACTATTCTAAAAATCAGCTGACAATGTGTTAATGAAAACTCTAAACATTTAGAGTTTGTGTGTACATTTAGACGTGACTATTAAGAACATCGATAAAGTAATCTCTGTACCAGTTTTCCCACATTTGCATTAGTGCTAAACATGAATAATTGTCTTGTTATTCAAAACACAAATGATACTGAAACTGAGCACAGATTGTGATGCAAATGCTTCTTGGTGTTTTGAAGAAACAACAAGAGCCTTTGCAGCTGCTCTTTTCTGGAAAACAAACATTCTGCCTTAGAGCAGAATGTTGTTTCAGAACTAGAATAAACAAATACATATTGTTCTGTGTGAAGTTTGAAAGATGTTTGGGATAGAATAAGATGACAATGAGAAGTGGTACTGAAGCCCTGCTGCATGGAATTACTGCTTGGCCTGCATCTTGTGATTCATGGTGTGGTGTAGGTTGCCATGAGTATTTGCAAACTTTTCTCTTGTCCCTTTGACTGTTTTTTCAGTGGATTTTTGTAAAGGACAGTCACTTAAAATTGTTTTGGAAAATGTGAAATTATCAGAAATTCAGCATAAACCAAGAACATCTGTTACAGGAAAACATGTTTTTTGTAGCACCACCACAAGTTTTGGTACTGTATGAGAACAGTTAAGTGTTTCTACTACATTACCTACTGTTCATCTTGCTCAATCCATTGTGTATTCTGTAAGAGGAAAAGCTGTGCCTTTTTTTCCCTCCATATTGCAGAATGCCACGATCAAGTCTGGGGATTTCCCATGTGTCAGTACTTGAAGGACAAAGGCTGGTGCTGTGGTCGCAATGCTAGGATGTCAGCATGCTTGGTATGATTCCTCTTCCTTTCTTTTCCTACTGAGAGCTTTGTCCAGATGTTACAGGATTCGTTGTTTTTGGCTTCTGATTCTGAAGCCATGACTTTAATCCAAGAATATACAGGATAACATCATTAATGTTGTAAGCATGATGAATTCTATCTAAAAAAAATAGTATTGACCTTCCAACTTTATATATTTTATACTTGCTGAAGGCATGAAAAAATGAGTATTGATAGAAATATATTTTAAGAGTGGACAGAAAGGCCAAAACTTTGCTGAAACCTAAACAAGGTAACCCCTCAGGATAATAGTTCTTGGCCAAGGACTTAGGGAGAAACAAGGTAATTGTAGAAGGATTGCAATCAGTAACTCCCTCAAAGCCTTCGTGATTCATCATATTGAATGTTCTAGCTGTTTAAAACCTGAACAACCCTGCCTAATCTAAAAACTAGAGGAGCTTTTAAAATCCATGTAGTTTCAGAGTCTGGAAATGTCTTTTGAACATTGCACCAAGAGATGAAGTACTTTTAAAGACTTAGCCTCAGCAAGATATGATGATAAGCTGTTGTCTAATTTGAAAAAACAGATAGGTACTGAAAATTTTGACCACTGTTTCAGTTAGAAACCACTATTCCTTCCCTCTATTAATTTTTAATTTATGGTATCCAGATAAATGACATTAGGTTCTGGCTAGGCTCTACTGCTAGCTCTGTACCTTCATTACAGAGAAGGGTATAGACTAAAGACTCAGTGTGGACTAATGTATTGAGGTTATGTAAACTTGAACTACCATGATAATTAAATGCTGTCAGGAGAAAATATAGGAGGACAGTTGTTTAGGATCCATAAGGCTTAAATGTGTTACCTTTGGCAAAGTAAAGGAAAAGAATTGTTCATTTTAGAGATGTAGCTGTAAAACTCAGCAGAAGTTCTTTCTAAAGGGATTTGCCTTTTCTCTTTTTCTTGTCAGTGTCATACAATACCAGTCCTTCCTCAGCTGACACATTAGCTGTTTCCTATTTCATTTCTTTTGGAAAGAAAAAGGTTGGGCTGTTTTTCAGTAGTGATAGGAAGATAAATTTTAAAAGCAAATGACCCCCAAGAGAGTACTGATCTTGCTTCATATATCTATTTTAGATTTCTCACAAATCACAGAAATTTGGCAATTAAAAACTTTTTGTCTGAGCATTCACAGAAGGCAAAGAGTTCTCCTGTATAACTAGATACCTCTCCTGTTATGTTTGTAATTGTCTATATGCATTTGTCATGACTAGGATTTTCCTTGCCATGTAGGATGTACAAGGGAGCCAGCACAGAGCCACTAAGCACCCACATTTCTTGGGCTACTGGCTGGTTAGCAGAAAGCCTGCTGAGCAGTGACACTCAGAGTTCAGATTGGTTGAATTGCCAAGGGCCAGAGGTGTTGGGCAAGAGTTCCAGCTTCAGAGCCTTACAATATGTCTTGGAACCCGTATCCATCTCCTCGGCAGCAGCAGATAGATGCTGCTATGAGAGCTTACGCAGCAAAAGGCAAACCTGATAGTTGGCCAAAGCCATGAATGGAGGAACTGCAGCTGTGTGGACTGTGTTTGAAGAACAGTGTGAAATATAAGATCAGTTCCACAACAAGGAGAAGGAGGAGGAGGAACAGGCAGTCTCATTTACTGTAGTGAAGTTTGGGAGTAAAGGTGACAATAATCTGTAAATGATGAGGCATTTTTTGTTTGCTGCCTAATTGGATGTAGTATCAGATAATCAGATACTGAGGTTTTGTCTTCATTTCTGCTGTGATCTTTAAAACTCTGTTGAAATTTTTGTGGGCACACTATCTTTTCAACTGTGAAAGAGTATTACATGCTTCTAAATATTTGTTGTTCTTTGTCACAATGCATGACAAAAATCAAGTAGTCTCACATCTACATCAGCATTTATAGTATGAAGACCCTAGTGAAAAATAATGCACAGTATTTTAAACTGCAGTCTCTCTGAAGTTACTTTATTTGCCTGTATATCAGCAGTTCAATTCATCTGAGTACTAGTGATTAATATTGTCCATTGAACTAGTATTTACTTTTAAATAATTAGATATGCAAAGTGAATTATTTGTACTTCAGTAGAAATAGATTCAAGAAAAATGCATTTGCTTTTAGCACTTTCACAGAAAGTAATCCTCTGAAATTCTTGTACAATAGAAAGAAAAACAAGCAAATTTTCCATGTATATATTTCCTCACAGTTGGATGTCATTGCTTCTCCTATAAATAAACCAAAATAACAGGAGTAGCTGCTTATGAGTGCCTAAAGGTATTAACACTTTAAAGTGTGCAAGCGCATGTTGTGTCACACCATTAATCTTTTAAAATGTCATCTCCTCTGACTTTTATACAATGTGTTTATAAAATGTTATGATAAAGAATAAACATATCAGCAATTTAATTCCTTGACTCTTAAAGGCTTTGGAGAGAGTTGCAGTTGGCCAAATGGTAAGTAATACTGTTTATTTTAGCCATTCTGAGATAAAATGTGTTTTTTCCCCTTGAATGTTCTTAATCCATGGCCTTTTATTGAACTTCTGCATATCTGGAGTCTGAAATACTGGCCTACGCTGTGTCAAATCCTGATAGATAGCATGTGTCATCACGAAATCACATTTTTATTGCTGTGCTTGTACTTAATGAATCTGTTTTCTTTTTACAATTAAGAGTCTGAGAAAAAAAAGCACAGCTTAAAATTTAAGGCATTAAACTACCCTTCCTAACTTCCTTTGCTATCTTTCAGCTAATGCATAAATTCAGCGCAAATGTCCTTCTGATATCCCTGGTTTGGATCACTCTATCCCAGTGTTTTATCAACGAATGTAAAAATAGACATTGTTATGACAAAAGCTTGAACCTGTTAGAAACATTGTCATTCTCATTTTTAATCCCTGTATATTTTTTCCCTGTGAATATTTTGATTTATTGTTGTGCAAGATATCCTTAAGGGATGGTGGGCACCAACTATGCAAGTATTTGAAAGGCCAGGCTGAGAGACTTCTTTCCATATTCAATAAGCCTACTGACCCCAGCAGTCTTTTTCTATGTATTTTTAATTGGCCATCATTAACTGGTTTTATGTAAACATATTTTCCATAGACAAATATATGAAATTCTTAGCTTTTTTTTTTTTTAGCATAGTACTTTCTACATGGTTCAGACTACAGTCTGACCGCAGATGATTCAGCTAGGTAATTGCTCCTTTTGTCTTCAAAACAACTTAGATAATTGTTGTTTATTTTGCATATTAGAATTCAGATCATGAACAGTGCATTTTCCTCTGTTTTCTTTTTTTCCATCCAGAGAGTCCGAGTTTGTTTTTTTTCCTTCTTGCATTTATGGTTATGTTAAAATCTGACTTAAAAACATAATCTTAACTGGATGCAAGAACATTAGTAAATTATCCTCTTAAATCTGGTATGACTGATCGTAAAGTATATAACTCAATAAATAATTAGGGAAGCCAATACTGGTTTTGTTACTCTGATCTTAATTTCAGTGCCAATTTTAAATCCTTGCTGTTGTAAAATTTTTTGCAGCTGCCTACAGAATCATTGTTTTATCGAGCTGTTCTTCAGGTTATTATAGAAGAAATTTATGGTGTCACCAAAAGGTAGGAAGCTCTGAATTCACAGAATACCAGCCAAAGATTGATTTGATTCTCTTCCACCTCTGTGATGTAGAGAAACTGTTTTGGAAAGCTAAATGACGTAGGAATCAGTCTCATCACATTGTATATACACATCAGTATTAAAATGCAAGATAGATTGGCTCATCCTCAATCCACATCACAAATGTATTGCCCTTCCTTTGCCTGTAGCTGAAATAGGTCCTCTTTGGTACTGGGTACATGGGTAAAGCATATCTTCACCTGAGAACACTCAGCAAATGCACTGAAAAGTCAGAGCAGTCCTGGGCTACCCTGTCATGCAGAAGTCCTGGCAGCTTTGATACTGCAGATGGAAAAAGGTATTCCTGTTTGTCCTGAGAAAAACTGCTGACAGCCTGATGGCCATCATGGCTCTCAAGAGCTACTCACTGCCTGTGCCTACACTGGCAAATTCTGCTTCCTTGTAGAAATGGGATTTGGAGAGCTGCTGATTTTAGAGGACCTGACATCTACATTTATACTCTTCTGGGGTTGCAGGTGGATTAGATTTTATCTTATTCTGTGGGATGTATGCCTGTTAGCACTTGGAGCACATTCAGAAGCACACCTTCCAGTTTAATTCAGTTTGAAAATAACCCATTTTTTGAGCTCTGATACTATTTCATGGTGTGAGCCAAGGCATGAGAGGTGGGAAAAACCAGAAAATTCACTTCAGAAGTATACTCCTGATCTAAAATAAGTGCTAATGCAAATACCCCTAAAACTTTTGCTGGAAAAAAGTAAGCTTTTGAAGCTTACCCTTCAGAAGGTCAAATTCCTGAAAGAAGAAATGCTTCTTTATTTTAAAATTGCATAAAATATCACACAAAAAGTCATGGCTGCTAAATTGCAAAGAAAAGAAAAACTGTGAGGTACATTTTTCAAGTTTTGAAGGAAGTATAATTTGGAGGAAATAATTAAGATTATATGTCTGTAATGAACACAATGGCTACCTTGGAAAGACTTTTCTCCCCCCCCATTTTATTTTTTTTTTTTTGTGAGCAAGATGTTAAATGCCCATCCTCCTAAGAATGATGTAACAACATAATCATTAACTGATTCTCAGTCTGCATCAGCCTAAATGTTAAGGTGCATTTGAATATTAAATATGACAGTAGAAATTATTCTCAATGAGTGAGGGTCCTTGACAGCTAAACGGCATTAGAACTGCCACTGAGTGAAATCTTTTGAAATCTTTCTGTTGACTTCAGATGTTCATTCTGAGTTTTAGTTAAGGAGATAGGTTTTACTAAGAATAAAGAGGGAGAAGAGCTTTAAGATACTTCTATTCAGTTTTTCACTGGGAGGATTTGGGGAGAGTGTGTTTCTTGTTAAGTAATTCAGTAGCTGAAAATTCTGTACCTGAATATTTAACTCCTACTCTAGAAGAGAAATAATGTTAGACTCAGTCAAGAAAGTGAATTCAGACTTAAAAAAAACATTGTGTGTTGTTTCTCCAAGATATTTTAAGCACAGAGAAGAGAGCAAATATGAGTGGTCTGGTAGGATTCATTCTTTCTATATTTTTTTAAGTTTTTATACATTATTTTAGCATATTTTTTGAGACAACACACATTTTCATCTGGCTTGAAGTGCAAGCTATTGAGTTGTGAATAGGACAGAATTCTGGCATCATTTAGTGCAATAAAAATGGAAAGGATAAGAACACCAGGTAACCAGCAAAATTGGCATTTGTTCAGTCCAGTGGTTGCTGTTAAGTAAATTACAGTGGCATCATGGTACATTATGGAAGTAATGTAGAAGTGTAGAAGGAAATGTCTGTCATTGGAAATAATAATTTTGTCATTCATATAAGGAAATAAAAATGTTAGTAAAGAAATTAAAAAGAAACTTCAACTGTCTTTCCAAATTTCAGGTAAAATAATAACTGAATTATAAGCATAATACAATTACACAGTTGCTGTGTCTAGAAGCTACTTCAAGTATTAGCTAGATTGTTTTAAGTGGAAGGGGGGAAAAGAAAAGTTGTTACTAACTTGTCGCCATCCAACTGATTTATTTCTCCTGTTATAAATATCTGAATTTTGTTGTTGGATGTATAAAAACCTACAACTCAGTACTGTATTTGCAGTGATCGACATGTTGGAAAAACCTTCTCCAAATCATCCTCCTTCATAGATTATGTCAGACGGTCTCTGAAAAAGCTGGAACTGGATGATTCAAAGGTGAGGCACTAATTAGTGACTATTTGAAATTGTTATATGCATATAGTTTCTTAAATCAGCACTACAATGCAATGTTTGAGCCATTGAGTTGATGTATGTCGTATATTGCTGTATGAATATTATATTTGAAGACTTAATACTTTTAAATTAGTAAATGTTAAGGAAACAGGTGAAGATTTGAAATCACCTTATTAGAGAAAAAGAAATAAAGTAGAGATTTAAAATAATTTTGAGGTTTTATTTATGTTCTTGAGTATCTTGTCTTAGTCTTAATCCTACAACTGCTCAATTGGTCAACAGATGGCAACATAGCATTAGGCATGGAATATGACTGTGTGGAGATCAGAACCATGTTGTGAGAGCAAGTTGTGCAAAGGAGACACTAGACAGTACTAGACAGATTGTTAACAAATGAAGTACAATCAAAGGAAAAGTGGGAGTGGCAAGCATGTAAAATATTTAAGGTAAATGTTGTTGCAGTCTTTGGTAATGTTTAAAACCTGTAGTCAAAATGTCAAATCACTTAAAATTTGCCAGGCACATCAAAGCATGAGCTAGGAAAAACAGGCAAAACTAAATAAGCGAGTAAATTCAAATGACATTGGAATCATCCTGACAGCATAAGAAAAGGCCTGAAGTGTGCTGTATTTTAAAAAGATTATATATAATTCTGTAATTAGCAAATCACATCTAGAGAATGTAGTTACCTGTTTGCTTTTCTGTATGAATAGGTGCTAACAAGATGCATTCACCCCAGCTAGAAATAAAATTATGTCTATGTCTTTCTTCATGGGTGTACAGTCACCCAAAAGCAATAGTGGTCTGTTTGTTTTCTTTAAAACCAGTAAGCATAGAAAGTTTGTGTCAAGAGGTCTGATTTTAGATATGTTGCCTTTTGCTAAGAAGAATCTGGACAAATGCAAGTTACCCTGAGACAAAGATGTCTGTCAACACTACTTCAAGCTGCACATTTATGTGGTTGCTAAAGACCTGATTCAAATAAATGCTTACTTTTGCTCATGTTTCTCCTCATTTTATGTGCAGCTGGCTGCATACTGAAGACTGGATTTTATGCTGATATAAACAATATTATTTTTTATTTCCCAGCTATATTGAAATCTGCAGCAGCAGAAAACCAGTGCTATTTTGATACTACTGAGAGGAAAGTTGTTTCTGCTCCCTTAACAGTGGTTCTGACCCTGCAGTTTTCATGGTGGAGTCAGCACTGTATCTACACAGTATTGGAGAATGTGTTAAATGCCTCTCTTCAGAAAAAAAAATACTTACATAGCTAGAAATGTGATGAAGCCTAAACATTTGCTCTGAAAGACAACAAAATCAAAGAGAAATTTATGTGGAATTTGGGTTTTTAGCTCTATTTAGAAATGAACAAAAGCGCAGCTGTACTGCATAGACCAGATCTCTACTTTGTCTCTGGCAGTGGACAAAAACTGATGCATTGGGAAGAATGGTGGGAGCAAGCATATATGAAGCACACTTCCAAATTAATCAAAAATGTCCTTGTCATTGACCAAAAAAAAAAAAGGCAATCATATTCTTAATGCATAAATTTATTTAGATTATATTTAAAAAGCGGCTAAAACTTAGTGACATTGTGTAATACAACCAGAGAACTATGAGAAAAAATTCTTTCCATATGGGTCTCTGTTTCACATGTGCAAAGATATTTTCTAAAATACAGAAGTCAAGAAACTGAGTCTCCAGTCTTTCACTAGGCTTATCAGAATATTAAAAAGAATTTCATCTCTGTATGATAATAAAATTACTGGAAAGGAAAATAGAAGTGTAGAGGCACTGTTTCTAGGAGTCCCTGCCAGGGTTTGGTAGCTTGTCATGTATGGTAAAATCTTGCATGGTTTTTATCACTGAAGCTGAATCTGTACTGTGGGATGTAAACACTCTTCCAAACTTAATGGTTCATGATAAGCCTCACAGCTGCTTCCTTTATACACACCAATACCTCTGTTTCTGATCAAAAGGTAGCCCTGGGGCAATCCAATCAATTGTGGAGGCAGGATAAAGAGTACAGGTATATAAAACAGCTAACCTGCCTTGATACTCATTTTTGTGAGTGTGTGCTTTTTGCTCAATATTACACTGATGAAGACTTATCAGATATAATTCATATACTAAGGCTTTTTTTGACTGTTGATTTTAAGTAAAGATAAGTAATTAAATCTTTCCAATAATTCATGTGAAGAATGGTGTCTTTCCTTTGCGAAACAGATATGAAGTTTTTAGTTATGTGAAGCAAGAATTAGACTCTTTATGAAAACAGTCTCAGTCAGAAATGAGTTACAGTGAGACAACATAGTAAAACAGTTTCTCTACAAAAAAAAAAAAAAAAAGGGCATTTATCAATAACCTAGTGCCACTCATGTTAAGAATTACTGTTCAAGGATTGAAGTTTTGTATTAAAGTGAGTCAAAATAATTTCCTCCATTCATGGTGTTTCTTTTTAGTGTGGGAGAGCCTGTCAATTAAACACCTAGATGCAAATGAAATCCTTTTTTCTACCTTGGTACAGGACCATTCCCTTAATGCTTTTTCTTCACCTCAGTAGTAAAAATAAGGTATAAACCATGACTGCTGAATTTCTGACAAAACATTCTCATTCTGTGAGGGCAGGGAAAGGTCTTTTAGTGTGAGCATGCTGCTTCACAGGTATGGTTATATTGCTTATAGCTTCAGAATTAATGGAATTGCTCTCTGGGCCATGAATCATGAAATCATAGAAGGGATGTTAATGATCATCCAGTTCCAACCCCCCTGCTGTGGGCAGGAACACCTTTCACGAGGCCAGGTTGCCGAAAGCTCCATCCAACCTGGCTTTGAAGATTGCAAGGAATGGGGCATCCAGAGTTTCTCTGCACAGCCTGTGCCATGTCTCACCACCCCCATAGTGAAGAATTTTTTCCTTATGTAATCTAAACCTATCCTCATTCATTTTAAAGGCATTTCCCCTTGTCCTGTCGCTACAGGACTTTGTGAAAAGTCCCTCTCCACCTCTCTTGTAGGTCCCCTTTTGGTACTGGAAGGTGCTTTAATATCTCCTTGGAGCCTTCATTTCTCCAGGCTGCACAGCCCCAACACTCTTAGCCTGCTGGCCACAAATCTTTTAGTGTGGCTATTCGGCAAATTCCTTAGCACTGAGTGGTCTCCAGTTTAGAGACGAGGATGTCATGTGGGATAGCGTGAAATGTTTTGCACAAGTCCAGGTAATGAGCAAGTCAGTTGCTCTTTCCTTATCGACCAGTGCTGTAACCCCATCATAGAAGGCCACCAGATTTGAAGGCACAATTTGCCATTAGTGACCATGTTAGCTGTCACCAGTCACCTCTTTATTTTCTCTGCATCTTAGCATAGTTTTCAGGAGGATCTGATGCATGATCTTAGGCATCAAGGTGAAACTGACTGACCTGTAGTTCCTCAAGCCTTCAGTTTTGTTTCCTTTTTGAAAATGAGATATGATTATGTTCCCCATTTTCCATGGGAACTTTACTAGGCTGACATGACTTCTCAAATACGTTGGATAGTGTCTTAGCAACTTCATCTGCCAGTTCCTTCAGGACCTACAGATGTACCTCATCAGGTCCTATAGACTTGTGCATCTTCAGGTCCCTAGGATGTTCTTGAGCCTGTTCTTCTCCTACAGTGAGCAGTTCTTCATTTAGTCAGTCCCTGCCTTTGTCTTCTGCAGCTCAAGTGGTGTGTCTGAAACACTTGCTGGTGAAGACTCAGTCAAAAAAAGTTGTTGAGTATCTCAGCATTCTCTGTAAGTTGTGTAACCAGTCTTCTGTTCTGGAGAGTGTGCACATGTACCTATAGAAGCTTTTCTTGTTGCTCTTGATGTCAGTCAGGTTTAATTCTATGAGAGCTTTATCTTTCCTAACATGATCCCTGGGTGCTTTGACAATATCTCTGTATTCCTCCCCTGCTACCTATCCTTGCTTCCACTCTTGGTAGCCTCCTTTTTTGTTGTTTAGTTTGGCCAGAAGGTCATTGCTCCTCTGTGCTGACCTCATGGTATTTTTGCCTGACTTCCTCATTAAGCTTGGAGTATTAACCATCTGTCATGGGCCTCTTTTCCCTCCAGGACTTTATGCCATGGTACTCTGTCAGGCTGGTCTCCTGAAGTCCAGGAGAATGAGTGCTCTTCTCGCTGCCCCAAGGACCTTGAATTCCACCATTTCATGGTCACTGCGGTCAGGGCTTCCCCTTGAGATTCACATTCCCCACCAGGCATTCCCTATTGGTGAGAATTGAGAGCATTGGCTCCCCTATCTCATGGGAAGGAAATACTCATCAGTGCATCCCAGGAACCTCCTGGGTTGCTTATGCCCTGCTGTGTTGTCCCTCCAACAGATACTGGTGTGGTTGAAGTGCCCCATGAGGACAAGGGCTTGTGAAAGTGAGGCTGCTCCATTGTGCTTGTAGAGGGCCATATCTAGAGATGCCTGCACAGCGCTGCAGTAATTGGTCTGGATACATACCAAAGCAGTATTTTGTTCCTGATTGTTTTCTTTGTCATAGTTCACTTTGTTCCTAGAGACTCTGTGTTGTACAGACAGCATTAAGAGTCACATCGATTTTGGAGAAATTCTTTCTATTACAAGATTTCTTTTTCCTATTGTTCACCGTTTTACCTGATTAACGTGAATAGGGACTCTCTTTTGGGAGAATGGAGCATTCATCCCTGTCCTCTCTCATAGAGTAGCTGGCCCTCTGATACTTGTTAACCTTTTTGCTTTCAAGCAGCAAGAGCAATTCCTTCCTCTTCAGCTCAGAACATGTTTCAGCTGTTTGTAGCTGCTTTGCAAATGCATTTCAAATGAAGCCTCTTTATTAACGGATCTGATTGCTGCTTAAGGCAATAAGTGCTACAAATAGCATTGCCAAGGCAAAAAGTCCTCATATAAGTATTTATGTATTTCTAGAGTTTTTAAGAAAGAAAACTCAAAACTTTTTAGGTTTCCTGG